CCGTTTTTTTTTTGCAGAACTGGGGATTGAACTCAGGCCCTTACACTTGCCAGGGAAGTGCTTATTCCACTGAGCCATCTCCCCGGCCCTAGCTTTCTACATATTTTATGTAAATCCATATACATGAGCATATACATTCATGGAGTTACCAAAAATGATATATAAAGACTGATAATAAAAACTATCTAGTCACGTAGTACTTAAAGATGCCCAGTTATGATTTGGACTAAGTAATGGTTGGCGGAGGTGCAGTTGCACCTACTGATCTCAATATCACAAACTGTATTTAGTGATAGCATCAAGGATAATCCAAACTATAGTACATCGAGAACTTGCTGTATGCTGTATTCTAGGTTTAGTGCTTTGCATGTAGATAACTTGTATAACATGAACTAGTATCTCAGTACTATAGGAAAAACTGAGACAAGAGAGGTCCTATGACTTGCTTAGGTCACTATGGCTGTGGTGGAGCCAGGCTTTGAAGGTGTTGTGTCATTCATCTGTCCTCTCTATGGTGTGAGGAGACCAATGGAGTGCTTGTTGAAGTTGCTTTACTGGCTTAAATATTTTCTTTAGATGTCTGCGTGAAATCAGTAGGAGTAGTCATGATCGCATTTCTTTCAGGAGCAATCATTTCCATAACTGTCAGAAGATACTTTCTTGCTCACCTGATTTATTCTAAGGCAGTGACGGCAAACTTTTAGAACTTTCAATGATAAAACTGCTTGCTGCAGCGTGTGCACTATAGATAGGTTCACCATTACTGCTCTAAGGTTCATATTTTCTGCTTTGTCAATAACATCTGCTGGAGATAAGTCAAGACTATATACATTCAAGTCATTGCCATGAAAAAGGTTTTGGTATGGCTCACCAGATGACATCTAGAGTCTACTTCTGCCATCAGTGGGAAAATGCAGGGTAACCCCCGGACCACTGGAACATTCAGAAGCATATGTACCAAAATCACCAGTCCTATAGATAACCCACTACTATGGACTACTGGACTATATTGGATTATTTTGCTGAATTCACACAGCTACAATATTTAAATGTCAAGGGAATACCCATCACTGATAAAACTAAACAAAAAGGGGGATACAAATGAAGGATCAATTTGTATCTGCATATACAAAATAGTTAAGATATATAGCTACTTTCTCTTAATTCAATGAGAAGAAAGATTTGTACTAATAGTATTTAGACAGGATATCATGTTTGCATCTTGTAGTATGAATAACCACTACAAAGACAATATGTGATGTATTAATTATTGAAACTGTCCTACTAATCAGTCTTGAAACTGTCTCATTACTATTTGTTTCTCAATAAAATTAATTAAAAAGAAAAAGAAAAAAATTCACAGCATTCCAAGGGGATCAGGAGTAACAGTAGAGGGCTCCACAGCTGCACATAGCCAAGACAGGACCTCCCTGATTATGACTACTTTAATGAAAAGCTGCATATACCAGTGAAAGTGCGAACAATGACTTACGTATGCAATGGTGCAAATTCTCAAGGAGTAAATGATTATACTGGAGATGGAAAAATACCATTTAACCTAAAATGATTGTTCACAGAGGTACATAAAAATTCATTTCTGTTAGAAGTCATTCCTACCTTCAACAGAGCTTCAAACTGAGTATCTTCGTGGACTGGTAGCTGGGTTGGGATATCACACTCATTCTGTCCATGAACTACTAAGGTTTTGGTACCTACCGAAAGGGAAAATCATAAAGAAATGATTTCACTATGAGAAAATTTGTATTTAAGACATCAAATATATCATAAGCTGATTTACATTCTTATTGCCACTAAACAGTGAGATGTGTACTGAACTTAAATATATATTTTAAATATTTCACATTAAATAATTATAGCTACTATTTATGGAGTTCCCAATGCTGTTATCAACCTTTTACATGAATAACTGTATTTAAATCACAGAGCAAACCTCTGACATATTATTTTCATCTTATAAATGAGAAAACAGAAATTGAATAACTTATCCAATGACAGTTCCTGTATTTAGTGGAAGAGTCAAAATTCACACAAAGCGTTGCACATAATAATACTAATAGACTAATCCTAGTCTAATAAATGAGATAGCCAAGCAAAAACAGTTGAGAAAACTGAGATGTAAACAGAGATATTACAAAAACAAAAACAGGTATCACAAAAGTTGCTCAAGCATAAATTCTCTGTATTTTATTTATTTCTCTTCACCCTGCATTTATAAACCTTTGTGAACATTATGATATACCTTGACTTTTTAATGAGCTGTTTTTGAATATATGTGTGACAATATGAGTTTCTTTGCTATAATAAAAACTGACCAATACTTTGGATAATCTACAGAGCATAGGCATACACAACTCATTTATCAATTGTCATAAATCAATTATGGCAGCAAGCATTTTAGATCCTTAACATCATTTACTCCTTGTGATGGTGAAATATGAGTGATATTCATATTTTATACATGAGAAAAGAAAACTTTGAAAATTGATTTCTTTTTCACAGCTAATCCTAGTAACATGGCTAATAAATGGCAGGCTGATTTTGACACAGTCTTCTTTATTGCCAGATCTGTGTCCTCATCTATGTATAATTTTGTCTTTCTCGTTATTTCAATTGATGTATCATCTTCTATTTTCATAGTAAGTGGCTAAGGATAAAGGCTTGGTAAAATATTCATCTCAAGAACAAACAGGCTATGTCAAGGAAAAATGAAGTGCATCCAGGGTTTATATCATACTTCATGTTCTTTTGTAGTTCTTCCTCTTCTTTCCTCTTCCAATTTTTCATAAAGCCGTCTCTCACTGAGTTTACAAAGGACTGGGGTCCATGTCATACAAACAATATCATTCTTGCAGTGCCAAAAATTCACTCAAAAACGCTTTCAGTTCGGCTGGCTCTGTGACAGACTTAAATAAATCTTTAACCTTGGCAGCCTGTCAAAGACTGATTCATGCGGGCCTCCATCCTGCTGCCCCCCTTTTCATCTGGCCACTGCTGTTGTTTAAAGGCTCTATTATATTTCTTCTAATTGTATTAAACAAAAATTCTTTGATGCTTTCAATACCAGGGGTGAGAACTCTGGAAGCTTTCTCATGAATGAAAGAGGCTCATGGGTGTTCAAAGGGCTATTTATAATTTTTTAAAGTTACTCCATCTGAGAGCCATAGGGGATTACCCGGCATGGAAGCGGTCACTAGGAGCTTCACCTCACACTGCTCCTTCTTCATCGTCTGCTTGAGGTCCTTGAAGAAGAGGCCCTCCACGTACCCCACCACCTCCCACAAGAAGGTCAGCGTGGCCGAGATGGCGTCCATGCCCCATTCGCAGGGGGTCCGCACGAAGTACATGATCAGTCCCACCTGCAAGGCAAAAGGAGCACGTTCAGAGCCGCAGGAATCCTGAGCTCACCTGCTCATTCTCCCGCCCTCTGTCTCTTCCAGGACACGGCTGCAGCCCCCGAGGTTCACATTCATCTCAGGGAGCAGTGCGGAGCCTGACACGGCTTGATTCCTGTTTCCTTCCCCTGCCCTCCCTACCCGTATCCCTCCCTTCATCTCCAGATCCCCTTTGCCCACTTTCATTGTTTTTCTTATTTTTGTTCATGTTTGTGATGCACAGCATTTACGCTCCTCGTGGGGACCTGGTATCTGCGCGTGAGGCGCCTTACATCTTTCTACTTCCCCCTTTCCTTCCCTGCTTCTCCTCACGCTTAGTTTTTCTCTTTAAATTCCATTTTCCCGCCTTTTCGGATTCGCCACTCAAATGCTTCTCTCACACTTTCAGTGGCAGTAATCAGGAAGCAGTGTAACTGAAAAGCTGACCGAACATGCCCGCATGCGTGTCAGTTACACAGTCTATCAGGATCTTAAAAGGGCCAAAATACTGCTCAGACTTACAATCATAACCAAAAAAAGCCATTCACTCTTGCTAAGAAGAAATAAACTTGTTAAAGGACAACACTTTCTTTTCCGCAAAGGAAGCATAGTATAAATGAAACAAATTAGCATTTGTGGGTTAAAATCTTTTCGAAATGGCAGGTCGCTTGGGGCATTACTTGAACTTTTCTCCCTGCCTCCTGTTTACCTATCTTCTATTTTGTATTAAAAT